GGCCCTCTCAAAAATCTCTGTGATTCTAAGATGAACTGATAAGGAACTAGTGGATAGGTCACGCAGTTGTCGCCTCAACTTTTTTAGTCTGTTCTGAAGAAAATGAGGAACAAGGGAATCTGAAGAATTAGGCTTGAGATATATACGCGGCACAAACTCTACAATGTCCTTGGAAACATTGGACATGACATCACGAAGAATGGTTACATCGCTACAAGTGAGGAAGCCACACCAATCCAAGGATCTCATATAGTTATTTATTAAGTGGCTATCTACACAGTCGTAGTTCATGAAAGTCTGAACGGCGCTTGTCTTTTTTGAAAAGGCAAGCGGTAGGCAACAATGAATTAATACGTGGTCACTGTCAAAGAAGTCCTTTAGCCTCATGCGTGCTACTAAGGGGAAGAAAATAGAATCCGTTCAACACTTCTTCACTAAGAGAGTTTTAACCCCGGAACACCGACAACTGACTTACCAAGAACGTTGCCGGCTTACGGGCCTTGATCCTTTATGGTTCCGTAGATTACACAAGGGACTATTTTTGCCATTTAAACTCTTATATAATCACACATTTAACCCACTCACCTCTTTAGGACATCATGTCCACCTACAACGTAACAGCCACCGAGAGGTCTTTTTATTTCTTCCTCTGGCACGTACTGCTTAATATTGTCGGTTCTTTTCTGTAAATGCAATTGCTTTTTGGAATAAACTACCCATGGGTGTGAAAAATCTGCAAAATTTTCCCTTATTTAAGAGATCTATTACTAGTTTTTTGCATTCAAAAGAGCTCGCACAAATTTTGGGTGCTGAATCCGCCGAACGACTGTACCGTAGCGATGGAGTTTGTGGTCTCTGACCACTGTGGCCGGTCTCACCAGGGACAATTTCTTTGGCCAACAGCGACAGCTGTTCTTCGGCGTTTCGGATTGGACTAACCCTAACTTCATGAAAGGAATTGACGTCTGTTAATCTTCGATACCGTGCACCCCACTTCCCCTTTCTTGACGGTCGAAAGGTTGTCGCCAGCAGTTTTTTTTTCCTGAACCCTCCAAACTATAAAACCACAATCAACTATATTTTTATTCCTTTCCCATAGGAGTATTTTTTCACTGCTGGCCGGATTTGTGTTTAACGCTACCCTTTCAATGCCTGTAAACTGGAATAAAATAAAATTAGTATTATTACCAAAACAGCATCACATTGCCATTTTTACTGTGCGGTGCTATGAATCTAAGTTCTCTAGCACTCATTGGGGCATTTTTGAGGACAGGTCCAGATAAATTGCCCCTTGAGCCTCTCTGATTTTGGTTGCAGACGTGATATTCTGTACGAGAGAGAGATTATTAGTTAGATTCAAGAGCCTGGAATCAAAGGAATTTCGCAAACCATTTGCTTGTAAATTGTTCAAATCGAACATCGGTGCGCCGACGTCTCCGGTTACCAGTGCCTCTCGGTTTTGCGTCAGTTCTTTAACTAAGGCAAACATCGCCTCCTCAATATCAGGAGTCTTATTGGGCTGCCTGCATATGGTCAGAAAACTCGGATGGGGTGCACCACGCCCCTTTGTTTTAACTATATTGCTTGACAGTCATGGGAGCAGTCAGTTTTGTGTCCTGACACGATGATTCCGCTCTTGACGTAGATCGCTAGTTCCCCTCTTTTTTGTGCAGTCCGTTTCGGTAAAAAGGTGGTACCCACCGAACTCGATTTCGGCATCGGGGACTTTAGCCTGGACCCGAGTCTCTGTAAAAATAATTGAATTGAATTGAAAGTAAAAAAATTTGGGTGCCTATCTGATGTCCACACTTTTAGCTCATATAGCTTCTTGGACAAACTCTGAGCATTTGCATAAAGAAAGCGGAGCTTATCATGGACAGATTTTTAAGTCGAAGTGCTAAATATTTCGCGTGGGTTTTCCAGTCCATCGTCCCCTTTCGAGGTTAGTATTGCTTAATTGAACTGAATGTCAGTGTCTTGACCGACATTTTCTGTGGTTTGTTTAGCAGATAGAAGCGTTTTTTTATAATCTGGTACTACTTTTTGCTCAGTGATTTGGCAGTCTCCAGAGGAATAAACTCCGAACATTTACGATTTTCCCCTTCAATAGTCTTAAGTTTTTCTCGCCGGAATCGGATTCCCTGATGAATTCGGCCTTCAGTTCCCTTCATTTATCCCGTTCGGCCGGTGAGAAATCCCGCTGAAAAATTGTTGGGTGGGCGTCTCGGAGTGCCGATTTCCACTTCAGCAGTAGTAGAGTTTGTTCCTCATTTTCGAGAACAATTTTTAATGGTCTATGAAAGCCCGATTCGTCCTTCAATTACTTAGTTTGTCTTATTCCAAAAGCTTTCAAGACGGTGATGTTCCCGTTCACCTATGATAGCGATTTGAGATATTGCTGAAATAATTCCATGTCGTGGTGTGTTCTGCTCATTGGGATGTCCGAGGTAGACTCAGGAATACCCCTCACTACACTGTATTTACTGCGACAAAGCAGAGGGTCCTGCCGTCTATTCTTTTAGAATAAAATAGGTTTATTATAGCGCCCCTTGGGCACTGTCAGTCTCCCTTGAACACAGGAAAAAAACCTAAAATAAACTCATCCATTTTGACTGCACTTTGACTGCATTTGTCTTGGATGACTCTTTAGCCAACAAAGCGCGAATTGAGAGTTTGTTTTAAGTTAAAAAAAACCTCAGTTTCAGGGAAAAATAATCACAAAAGGTTTAAGAAAGATCGATTTGTACAACATAAAAATTGAAGTGTGACGTTTGGTAGTTTCTGGGTGGGCATGAATAATATGTCCTTCATGGAAATTGAAGAACTTTGATATCAAACAGACCATGAAAGTATTTTCCAGTTGGGTAAATATCGGTTTGTTCTAGTTGGTGGTTGTCATGTAACGAGCCCGAATGTCAGTACGAGAGACGGCCCAGGAAAGTAAGGCTTTGGTAACTTCTATGTACTGGAACGCCTATGTACAATAGGAGACTAATAGGGGAAACCTAATTACAAAAAATAAACTGGGGGAAGGAGAGATTGTCCAGCGGAATTGGCGGAGGCACGGGGATCCAACGAAGACAGCGACAGAGGTCCCACGTCCGAAGGTTGGCGGCCTGCCACGGGGTTGTTGGGGGTTAATCCTCGCCCGTATTTATAGCTTTTCCAGAGCGGAAGTCGACAAGATTGGGTCCGCCATTGTTGATTGGTTGAGGGTAGATCGAGGGTGGAAAGTTAAACAAACTTATGCTAGGGCTATCTTCCTTAATTTTAACGTTATAATAATTTATTATATGTATACTTTTCGTGAGTGGCCAAATTGCAACTAAACGCCTGGCGTATAAATATTGGAAAGTTCGGCCGGCACGCCCCTTTAGGGGCGCGCTTTCTTGAACCTTCTCCAAGATGGCGGCCGCACGTGGTAGGGCCTCCTTGAACTTCCTACATTGCTCCCCCTTGCAAACAGGGTCTGCTGTCCTCAGCAGAATCATCTAGTGCGATGGCGGGTCCACCATCTGAGGGCACTTCGACAGTCTTCGCTATCGAGTGTCCATCTCTGAATACCTCAGCCGAAGCGCAACTGCCTTCTGGGGGGACCTCTAAATACTGTTCGACTAGTTGGTCGTTGTATTCGTGGGACGGACTGGCCCCCGAGTCGGCACGGTCTGTGTCCTCCTCTATCGATGGACCTGGCTTTAAGCGATTGAAGTGAACCGTAAATTCTTTCGAGTACGTTCTGTCCTGGCTGAGATCGACGCAAATCGTGTCGGAGAGGACCATTCTGACCGCACGCGGGCCTATCCATGCTGGATTAAATTTCTGAGGTACACTCGGCGACGGGGCGAAATTCCGCATCCACACGACATCTTCCTCTTGATAGGGGGTCCCGTGTGCTAGGCGATCATAGAATGCCTTCCTACGGCGCTGATCTTCCTGGAGGTGCAGTCGCGCTTCCTCCGATGCTATGCGCAGAGTTTTCCGCATCCTCGAGGCGTACGTGTCGAAGTTCTCAACCGGATGTGTAGGGGGTATGTGGAGATCCTCAGGGAGTTGTTTCTCCCTCCCGCACGTTAGGAAGAACGGCATGTGTTGCGTAATGGCATTTACCGTGGATCGGTAAGCCAACATGCACGCTGGCAAGGCTTCATCCCATGTGGGTGCTGAGTTCCGGTCGACAAGTGCTCGCAACAGATTGATCAACGTCCGATTTGTCCTTTCCACCTGGCCGTTGCCTTGTGGGTGGTACGCGGTAGTGCGCGTTTTCTTAATTTTCAGAGCCTTACACAACTCGTGTACGACGCTGCTCTCGGGCGACGAGTCTCGGTGTGAGTGGAGTTGGTCCGGGACTCCCCAGCGGCAGATCCACCCGTTGAAAATGGCTCGGCCTACTGTGGGGGCAGACGCATCTGGTAGGGGTACTGCCTCAGCCATCTTGGTGAAACAGTCTACCATGACGAGAATGAACCTATTTCCCCTCGCGGATGGCGCGATTGGACCAACTAGGTCTACCGCTACCCTCTCGTTGGGGTAGCCTGTCTGGATTGGCTGTAGCGGGGCTCTACAGGAGTGCCCGGGGGACTTAAAGCCTAAACAGCGCTCACAAGACCGGACAACGTTCTGTATGTCGGTCTTCTGATTCGGCCAGTAGTACCGCCGACGAAGGGCCCACTCGGTCTTATGGATGCCGGAATGCCCTAGTTCGCATGCATCATTTAAACCACGTCATCCACCATCGAAAGCGGTAGGACGACTCGCCTTAGGTATTGTTCATTGTCGCGATAGAAGATAACGCCATTTCCAATGAACAATTTGTCCCAGAGGCTATGCAGGCATCGCGTCTCATAACTACGACCTGCTAGTTCAGATTTACTGAGAGGCCTGCCGTTACTAACTTTCCTATCATATATGGGACGGATATGAGGGTCATCTCGTTGGGCTGCGGCCCAGAGAACGCATTTATCGCTTTGCAAAGCGATAGCGGAGACGGCGATGTCCGTGCATGACGGGCACTCCCCGTGGGAGCGATGCGGTTTCCTCGAAAGAGCATCCGCTTTACCATGTTGGCGACCGGGTCGGAACACGCATTCAAAGTCGTATTCCGCTAACTTCTCTTGCCAACGCGCTACTTGCCCTTCAGAATTCTTAAAATTTCTTAGCCAAGTCAAGGCACTGTGGTCAGTGCGTACGACGAACGGCCGGTACTGAAAATATGGCCGGCATTCTTCCACAAAATGTGTGAGGGCCAGCATCTGTTTTCGAGTCACGCAGAAGTGCCGTTCTGCTTTGGTCAACGATCTACTGAAATACTGGATTACACGCTCGGTATCGTCTAACTGTTGTTGAGAGACAACCGCGCCGATTGCGGTGTCGCTGGCATCGGTATCCAGAATGAACTTTCCGGCATCATTACTAATATCAGGAAAGACTAGAATAGGGGAGGAGCATAGTTTATCCTTCAGCGCTTGGAAGCTGTTGGTGCAGTCTGCAGTCCACTTGAACTTTACGCTTTTCTGGGTTGGCTTGTGGAGCGGCCCGGCAATTTGGGCGTAATCCTTAATAAATCGCCTGTAATAGGAGGCGAGGCCTGGGAAACTGCGGACCTCCGTCACGTCTGAGGGAGTGGGCCACTCACGGATTTGTGTGACCTTTTCGTCGTCAGTCTCTATCCCCGCGGTTGAGACTACATGGCCTAAAAACTTAATGCGGGGCTTTATGAAAACACATTTGGATGGCTTCAGGGTAAACCCTGCCTGTCGGAGACTGATAAACACAGCCCTGATATTATTCAGGTGGCTATCAAAGTCCTTTCCGAGGACAATTATATCATCCATGTAGACTAAATACGAGGTTGGTATTAACTGTGCAAGGGCCTGATTCATCAACCTCTGAAAAGTGCTGGGGGCATTGGCTAGGCCGAAGGGCATCGTCTCGAACTCGTAGAGGCCAGAGGGGACTGCAAATGCAGTCTTTTACTTATCAGACGGACGCACTTCAACTTGCCAGTAGCCTGAAGCTAAATCAAGCGTCGAAAACATAATATTGCCAGCGAGAGCGTCTAAGGTGGTATCTATCCGTGGAAGAGGGAAGGAATATTTCTTAGTCACAGCGCTTAGCTTCCTATAGTCAATGCCCAATGGCATTGAGCCGTCCTTCTTCTTCTTCTTCTTCTTCTTCTTCTTCACAAGTACAATGGGAGATGACCAGGGCGACTGAGAGGGCCTCATGATATTACGACTAAGCATATCATTGATAAGGGAATCTAGTTCCTTCTGGTAAGATATTGGAAGTCGCCTGGGGGAACCCTGATGGGTCTCGCATCCCCCGTGTCGATGTAATGCTCCGTCACACCCGTCCTCCCCGTGGACTTGCCATCCCAGTCAAAGATATCCTTAAATTCGCTTATTAAATGGCTGAGCTTCCGGGCGCTACCTTCGTCGAGGTGTACCGGGACTAGATCCTTAACATAAACACTAACTGCGTAAGTGGGTACCCTCCGTGGTTCAGGGAAACTGCGAAGAAAAGGCACACCGACCGTGGCGGCCCGTAAAGAATGCTTACCGAAATCAAGGGAACATCTAAACTTGTTCAAAAGGTCAACACCTATTATACAGTCCCAGGTGGTGTCCGGGGACACGACAAATTGGTGGGTAAAACTAAGACCTGAGAGATCAAGAGAAAACTCAACAAAGACCAGTATGCCTAAGATGAGTGCCATTTGCAGTATGAAGTTTAAAATTAGGCCTATCACAATACCTAATCCTCGTTTGGAACTCTAAAAAGGAATGCTGACGTATCAAAGAACAACCAACGCCTGAGTCTACTAGGCATGAAAGACTAGTGCTGCCTACAAAGCCGTCAACTAAAGGGCAAATAGTTGGACCAACGCATGAAACAGCGGAATCAGAAACAATGTAGTTCTTACCGCAGTGTTCCTCCGAACTGACATCAATGGCCTGAACGTGGCGGCGAGTCTGAGGTCCTGCTCCTCGACGGGACGGTTGCCGACGCCAATGGTTTTGTCGGGGGTAGTAGGAGCCACAGGAGCAGGGGCGCCAGGGCGTTTGAGTAGCACAGTCGCGGGCCGTCTGCGGCTGGACAACAGCGATGCCGAGGAGAGGCTGAGCTGGCCGATCGCAGACTGACTAGAGGGCCTCTTCTTGACGTGCCAGGTCGAGGACTTTGTCGAAGGTCGCCGGTTGCGGCCGCATCAAGGCCTCCTGGATTTCAGGGTCCCTGACACCAGCGATGAACTGCTCCAACAACCGCTGATTGAGGGTTGCAGCATCAATGGTGGGAAAAGCCCTCCGTCACAGGGGACGAAGGGCCTGCTGGTAGTCGAGGATTCATTCACCCGGCTCCTGGACGCGGCCCCGAAAAGCGGACTGCGGAATCCAAGGGTGCACAGACTCCCCGAGAATAACACGAAGGCGGGTCAGAATGTCCGACGTCGACATGGAAGAGGAAATATCTGCTGTCCGTGCGAGGTCGTAAACTTCGTCATCCAAAAGGCACAAGATGGTTCCGCTTTGCGCCGAAGCATCAACCCCGCGCAGGTAATCCAACATTCTGGCCTCCCACCGACCGAAGTCAGCGCCTCGCGATAATTTATTGTGGCATGTTTGCAGACGGCTGTTGCAGACCCAGCTTCTGCAGCTCCTTAACCAGTTTGGCCACTAGATTGTCCGACATAGTGGTCACCGCTGCCACCAATATGTAACGAGTCCGAATGTCAGTACGAGAGACGGCCCAGGAAAGTAAGGCTTTGGTAACTTCTATGTACTGGAACGCCTATGTACAATAGGAGACTAATAGGGGAAACCTAATTACAAAAAATAAACTGGGGGAAGGAGAGGTTGTCCAGCGGAATTGGCGGAGGCACGGGGATCCAACGAAGACAGCGACAGAGGTCCCACGTCCGAAGGTTGGCGGCCTGCCACGGGGTTGTTGGGGGTTAATCCTCGCCCGTATTTATAGCTTTTCCAGAGCGGAAGTCGACAAGATTGGGTCCGCCATTGTTGATTGGTTGAGGGTAGATCGAGGGTGGAAAGTTAAACAAACTTATGCCAGGGCTATCTTCCTTAATTTTAACGTTATAATAATTTATTATATGTATACTTTTCGTGAGTGGCCAAATTGCGACTAAACGCCTGGCGTATAAATATTGGAAAGTTCGGCCGGCACGCCCCTTTAGGGGCGCGCTTTCTTGAACCTTCTCCAAGATGGCGGCCGCACGTGGTAGGGCCTTCTAGAACTTCCTACAGTCAGTCCATCTGGCCAGCTGTAAATCGGCGGTCGCACATTTCCTTCGTGTTTTCCTGGAGGCTTGTCATAATTGTCCGGACTAAGTGCTGGAAAAGATTAATATATTTCAGGAGTGAGATACATTCAATAGTAAGTCACAATCAAAGTTGTCAAAATAATATTGAATTATGTATCATATTGATTCTTGTGAATATGACACTATAGAATTAATGGTCGACTGTTTACTATGATCTAATATAGTTGTACATCTTTTTAGTATAACTTTAATATAGACTTACGTACAACTAATAAGTAGGGTTTTATCGAAATGGATGTTAGTCTTAGCTCCTTAAGGGATATTTAGTGTCAGGTTATATAACCGATATAAACGATGAAGGGAGGAAAGAAAGAATATCACTATTTGTTCTATGTTTATCAATGATGCTATCTTTCATACATTTGATTATTTTTAGTGCTATGTTCCGGTGTTTCACAAGCGGCTGGTATCATCAGAACCCTTTCGTACCAAATTCTAGATTAAAGAATTGACTTGAAAAATGTCCTATTTTATTCAAAAATAAATGTGTATTGTTATTTGAAAGGAATTTCTTAGTTTTTATTTTAAACTCGATTAGGGTTCGACTTTTCCGGATAGAACTTGGAAGAGCATTGCAGATAGTGGCATATCTTATGGTGTAGAAATTCGACCGTTGGGACTTTGTGAATTTGGGTATCCTTACAATATCTTCGTTATTTTTGGTGCTTCTGGGGGCGTTTCGGTTTGCTAGTAAATTCATTTTGAGAATATTTTGGTCATGAGTGACCTTAAATAGGAAGTTTAGATCATTTTGGAGTCTTCTGATTCAGAGTGGTCGATGACCGTATTTATGATATAGTTCTAAGTATGAACCTTGGGTGTTATCCCTTTTGGACAAAGATCAAGTGAAACGTCGCTGAATGCCTTCTAGTTTCTTTCGACCGTCTGAGGGCATTATACCGAAGAAAACTGAACAATAATCTAGTAGAGGTAAAGCATACATTTTGAAAAGTTGTATTCTAAGTGCATTTAAGATGAAATTGTTACATATGAAACCACATTTGCGAGTGTCTTTCGGTGATATTTGTCGGACGTGGGGAGATATATCAAGGGTATTTGTATACGCAGAGTCTGCATTGCACCCATATCCATTGTAATTATTGCCCAATTGAGAGACAGCAGATTTTGCAACAAAAGCTGAAGCAGATGGAACTCCGTCCGTTACGCTGTCCAACTTATCCATGAGCCAATCAAGCGCGATAGGTGGTTCACATTCTGTCGATCACATTGTCGACAGCATCACTGAGTTTCTGTATGACCCACCGGCCCGAATCACCTTTGATTCCTGGTACAAAAGATGCAAAGTCTTGTCCTCTGTCGGTATGGCTACCCGGGACAATAAATGGAAAGTACGGTTCCTACTCCGCAGTCTGGGCCTGGTTGAACAGGAGCGTCATGCTAATTTCATTCACCCTAAGAACCCCAAGAAGTCAATTTTACGGATACGATGCAGACGTTGTCGCTGATTTTCCGTGAGCAGTCATCTCTGTTCAACACTCAGTTTCAATGCCTTTAAATGTGCAAACGGGAATCTGACGACTTCATCACGTATGCCGGCATTGCCAATCGTAAGTGTGGGCGTTTTAACTCGGTTCTCTCACAGGAGACCAGAGTAAATGCCTCCTGCCCATTAGGATGCTGACACCCAAAGACGTGTGCTATCCAAAGTGTAGCAGGACAAGTCAATCACAATCCAACAGCAGGTGGCGGAGTGTCAAATGTTGACAAACCTCAAGCACCACTCAACCATGACCCAGAACCCTGTCAAATCCTGCTCAGCCCATACGGTCACAGCGGCCAAATCGCTTCCTGTTACGCGGCCCTCTCAGGTGTGCAAGGCGAGATCGCCACCATCTGCTTGTGGGTACTGCGACGCATGGCATTTCCATCGGGACTGCACATTTCGCCAGCATCTCTTCCAAGGCTGTAATCAGGTTGGACACCGTCATAGATTCCGCGAATCAACACCAGTTTCTAGAAGCAAGCCCGCCCCTGCCACTTCTAGTCCCAGGCACCGTTTCTGGTCAAAGCGCAAGTCCAAATCCCAGTCCGTCGGAAATTCACTCAGTCACTTGGCCACTTTTCATCTCAATGCGGCGGGTCGTAGGAGGTTTGTTTACGCCCTGCTAAATGGCCACGCAATTTACCTACAACTGGACACTGTCTTAGACCTCACCATCATCTCGGAGAGACTCTGGCAGTCTATTGGCGGCCATACGATGCATCAGAATTCCCAGTCCGCCACAGCTAGGTGCTGTGGTGTAGTCCAGCTAATGGGGCAACTGCAATGCTGTGTCTCGATCCGCGGTACTTACATCACTGCGGTCTGCTTCGTCACCAAGTCTGACTTCAACGTACTTGGCCTCCACAGGATTTAACAGTTTGGTTTGGTCGCTATGACGCTCGTCGTTGTTTTCAGCCAGATAAAGATTCCCGCGGTGGTTTCCGATCCAGCCAAGGGCATTTTCCAACGGTTTGTCCCAGTAATCCAAGAAGGCCTGGGTCGTTGCACATACACTTAAGCCGTGCTACATCTGTCTCTTAGAAGTCAACCAATCTTCAGTCCAAAGCGACCAGACCCTTATGCAGCCTCACCACTTGTCGAGGCTGAACGGAAACGTCTGGAGGAACTAGGAGTTCTAGTTCCTGTATCCTACTCCGCCTGAGCCGCTCCAATGGCTGTCTTTAAGAGGCCCAATGGTTCGATCCGCATCTGTGCTGACCTCTCCACCGGCCTGCTATCCACTGCCCTTTCCGGTTGATATTTTAACCGTGCTGAATGGTGGTGCTTGCTTTACCAAGTTGGATCTCGCTGATGCGAATTTGCAGATCGGGGTCGCACCAGAGTCGCGCGAATAATTTACCACCGACACCCACCACGGTCTCTTTCAGTATACCAGGTTGCCCTTTGATGTTAATACCGCCCCGGCTACATTTGAATTGAATTGAATTTCAACAAACGATGAGCGCAATGCTCTTCGGCATTCTTCGCACAGCGGGGCACCTAGACGGCATCATCATCGTGGGACGCTCCCCTGCCCAATTGCAAAACCGAGTGTACGCAGTACGCGAACGCGTGCGAGCGGAAAAAAACCAATTCTTTCTGTACTCCATAAGGTATCTTGGATACGTTTTTGATTTCACTGGTCGCCATCAAGGTCCCGAAAACATTCGTGCCATCCAACGGACGACTGCCTCAAGATTGTATCGCAACGTCGTCCGTTCCTTGAGCTGCATAGTTACTCTAGCGCCCGCCTGCCCTCGCTGCCCCACTCGAACATCTGCTGCAGAACGATGCTACATGAGCTGGTCCTCCGACTGTTAAAAGAACTTCGCACAGCTAAAATCGATGCTGAGTTCAGATCTGCTGTTCTCACACTACGACCCGACGTTACCGATCGCTGCTGCTGCGAATGCTCCAAACCATGGATTTGGTATCGTCATCTCACATACTTTTCCTGACACGTTTGAAAAGGCAATCATGCCTGCATCTCGCACGCTAACTCCTGCGGAGAAGAACTACGGGCAAAAAGAGAAGGAAGCTCTAGCCCACGTGTTTGCCGTCAAGAAGTTCCACAAGCTGTCGCACGGTCGTCACTTCACGTCATTGACAAATCTCAAACCATGTTGACAATCTTTCTAGTCGGGTATCGTCAGCGACATCGACGACCTAGTTTGAAGGTGTTCAAGATGTTAACAAGCTGGCAAGATGCGGATTCGTCAATCACCAGCACCCAGGCAACCAGTATAGAGGCCTAGGTCACGCGTGCATATCGACTTCGCTGGCCCACTTGAAGGACTCGCATACCTAATCGTGGTTTGCGCCTACTCGATATGCCCAATATTGTCCCGCTAAATCCAGCGACCGCATCTGCCACTATCTCATTCATACGACGCGTTTTCAGCCAGCATGGCCTATTGGAAGTCCTGGTTTCAGATAATGGCTCTCGGTAAACTTCGTCGACATTTGAGGATTTGTGCCACCAATACAACATCCAGCATCATCGCTCCCCGCCCAACCATCCTCAGTCTAACGGTCAGGCGGAGAGATTTGTCGACACGTTTAAGAGAGCCCTCTTGAAAGCTCGTGGGAAGGAGACCACGGAGGAGATAGTCCAGGCTATCCTGTTTTCTTAGAGGACAAAACCGAACCCGGCGTCCCCTCGTGGCATTTCTCCTGTCGAAGCTTTGATGGGCTGAAAACTACGTACAACGTTTCATGCACTCATTCCTGTCAAGGTGCACACCGCGCAGATAACTTCGCCTGTCTCGGAACAAGTTTTCCGTCAGAACACTTGTCTTCGCTCCTGTTTATCGAATTGGGTTCCCAGACCGGATTGGGGTAACAATAGTAGCACATGGAGGCAGTATGTTGTATAATGTCGACGTTAGTGATGACATCTGAGTTCGTCACTACAACCAGATCCGATGGCAGCGGGCCCGAGTCGGTACGACCATGCCCTCTTTAATTTAATTTTAATTTTAATTTAATTTGTTAAATGCCAGTTTACAGGCATTGTCAAGGGAAGCGATTAAACACTAATCCGACCAGCAGTGAAAAAAACTCCTGAAGAATAAAAATATAGTTGATGATGGTTTTTATGGTTTGAAAGGTTCAGGAAAAAAAACTGCTGGCGGCATATATTGGACCGTCAAGAAGGGGGGGGGGAGGGGGTTTGCACGGTATCGGAGATCATCGGCTGTCAATTCCTTTCATGAAATTGGGGATAGTCAAAGTAGAGGCGTTGAGGAACAGCTGGTGAGACCGGCCATAGTGTTCAGAGACCACAAACGCCATCGCTACGGTGCAGTCGTTCGGTGGATTCAGCACACAAAATTTGAGGAAGCTTTTCTGAATGCAAAAATCGAGTAATAGTTCTCTTAAATAAAGGATAATTTTGCAGAGTTTTCGCACTCATTGGTAGTTTATTCCAAATAGCAATTGCATTTACAGAATAGAACCGACGATATTTAACAGTACGTGCCAGAGGCAGAAGTAAGAAGACCTCACGGTGACTGTTACGTCGTGGGTGGATATGATGTCTTAAAGAAGTGAGTGGGTTAAATGTGTGACTATATAAGAGTTTAAATAGCAAAAATAGTCCCTTTTGTAATCTTCGGAACCATGAAGGATCAAGGCCCGTAAGCCGGCAACGTTCTTGGTAAGACAAATGTCGGCGTTCCGCGGCTAGAATTCTCTTGGTAAAAAGTGTTGAACGGATTCTATTTTCTTCCACTCAGTAGCACGCATGAGGCTAAATAAAAACGAGCAGTATTCCAGACCAGGTCTAACGTACATGTTGTAAAGGCGCATTCTGATGTCCCTAGTTTTAAAGTTTCGGAGGATAAACCCGGTCGTTCTGCGTGCTTTGGAGACTATCGAGGCACAGTGCTCCGAGAGATTGAGACTCTTGGAGTATGATATGCCCAGATCTTTTATAACCCTGGGCACATTTATGGAGTGACCTTCAATATTTAGTTGAGGCTGGTGGTCGTCGCCAACCACCATGACTGAGCACTTGTGCCAAGAAAGAGAAAGGCGCCACTGGACGAAAGCCTGCAGGTCGATTTTTAGGAGCTTAAGCACTATGTCACGATCTGCCGGTTTATATCGATATGCAACTTCAAGATCATCGGCATACATGAAAGGCTTACCATTCTGACATAAATCGGGTACATCATTAACGAAAAGGCAAAATAAAAGCAGGCCGAGTACACTACCCTGAAGGACTCCACACCTCACACGTGTGGGGTTGAAGATGGTATTGGAAATCTTAACTCGTTGTGTACGAGTGTCCAGGTAAGAGGATATAAACTTCAAAAGTTTGCCACCTATTCCGAAAGAGGACAGTTTAAAGAGAAGAAGAGCATGGTCAACACGATCAAAAGTCTTAGTGAAATCGAAATATACAGTGCAAAGTGCAAAACCATTGTCCCTAGATTGGAGAACATTGTCAAAGAAAGAAAGTTGACAGGTGTCACAAGATCGAGCTTTGAGAAATCCATGCTGAGCAGCACTGAGCAGGTTAGTGACTGTTAAGTGACACATAAATTTATCTTTGATCAGTGTCTCTAAGATCTTCGAAACTGCGGGGAGGGTGTTTATTGGCCGAAAGTCATCAAATGATGTAGATTTGCCGTGATTAGGAATGGGCAGAATGTGTGATTCCTTCCACAAGGTAGGAAAAGTTTCACTTTCAATAGCAAGATTAAATATCTTGCATAAGAGGGATGGGAAGACCGTGTTTGCATCGGCTTTTAAAATGCTTACTGGGACACCATCAGGGCATGGACTATAAGATTGACGAAAACGCCGAATCGCAATAGGCACATCCCACAGAGTGAAAGTCATAGTTTCTAGAACTGCCCCGGTCAATGGCTGGATGGTCGGAAGCGGAGTGGTCGAGTCTTCAATGAACGTCTTGGACAGGAAATCATTGAAGCTATCAGCGGTTAACTGGGCATCAACTATGGGATTTCCGAGAGCGTCTCGGAGGATGGGATGCAGCGTCTTTCTATGAGTTCGTAATTTTCTAGAGAAAAGTTTCGAGACATTTAACGAATTTAACGAAAATTAAGTCAAGTATGCTTGAGCCTCGGGTGGGAACATCGACAACCTGATTCCACATCCCAACATCTACAGCCTCAAGAATGTCTTCGAACCTTCTTGGGCCTGAAGGCGGAGACCAGCGGACTTCGGGGAGATTAAAGTCAACCGCAACCAATTGATACTTAAAGCTTGAGTCGGCCGCAGCATGAAATGCCTGTGAGAGTAAACGATCAGAATTGTCGTTGGCGTTGGGAGGACGATAAATGCAGCCAACGAGTAAGGAGAACTTATTTTTTTAGTGCAACCTGGAGCCAGCAGCTGCCTTCTACTGCGGAAAATTGCGGGAGGTCCAACGGCAAAAATGTAAGTGTTTGCTTAACGTAGACGCAGCAGCCACCACCACGGCTATCTTGGCGGTCAGTTCGAAAGAAATAAGAGCTTAGAAGCTACGGATGCAGATGCCCAGGTCTCAGTTATTAAAACGATATCTGGACAATGGACGAAGACTAGAGTCTGAAGCAAAGGCATCTTATTAAGCAAGGATCTGGCATTTAAAACAAAAACTTTGAAGGGAGAGCCCGTTTGTTTCTGAGGGAGGTGGGCTACATCGTCCAGTTCTGGGCTGCCCACGGAGCAAATGGTCCGGATGCAACCATCCGGTTTTGCAAAAAATTTTGTGGCATCGAAAGCTTCTGACGCGGATAAAATGAGTAGGACTTGGGGGAGGGAATGACGGGCAGGTGAACTGGTAACCATTGTTAGCTAACTTATTTTCAGCTGGAAATCCGCGGGCCAGATACTGCAACGTATTCCCGCCAGAACGAAACTGAGGATAGGATGAATTAACTGATTCAGTATGGACATTATCATGAGGCATAAATTGGTAAAACGGCCGTGGAGGAAACAATTTAGGGGGTGGGGGACGCATTGTTTACATTGGAGCAAGAGTTTTATTAAACGGCGGAAAAATCGGCATTTCGGCCTAACTGCCTCGATATGAGGGCTGGGGGGCAGTTGCGAACCCGCTACGTTTTGAGTCGGGGTATTTTAGGCACTGTTAGCCGATTGTGGAGGAAAAGATTTTATAATGGTGCTGGATTTATTGGGTGTCCGAGTGGCTGAGACAGCAATTGGATTTGCCTTTAACTTAGACACATGTTTAGGCTTACTAGGAGTTGCTGGGGGAGTCGATAGAGGCGTGTTTATACCAGGCGTGATGGTGTTTTTAAAGAGCTCAGCATTAAAAGTAGTCGAGTTTCCTACGGAATTGACTATGCCATGATGTGCAGATGCCGCAGATGGTGTTGTAGAGGACTTATTCAGACTGACAGTAGATGTCATTATCTTAGTGCTGGTTTTTGCCGAAATAAATTTATTCAGTCTTCGCTGCAGGGGTGTGAAGTCTGGCGAAACGTAGCAGCGCCATTTACGGCAGAAGTCTCTAGTTATCTCCCTACTCGACAAGATAAAATCGACTTCTATCATGAAGAAAAGGGTCACTAGTATCGGCGCATTACGGCTCAGCGAGCGAAGTCGCTTAGCTTGTGCGACACTGATACTCAAGCCACAACTTTGTAGGAACACATGCGCTCCCTCCATAGCAGATAATTGGTTCGGAATGTTTCGCAGTACGAAATTATGCTTGCGTTTAATTCTTTCCTCACTTTCCGAAATTGTTACCCCAATAAGTTTAAAAGCTTGTTCAATGACTTTGTCAGAAGTGCTGTTTATGTCGCCATAGATCAACTGGTCGACTATTTCGCCGGCTGATGGCCTGCTACGACTAGCAGAGGCGTACTGTTGGACGACTGAAGGGTCAAGAGGTTCTACATGTACTAAAGGGATTTGTGAGTTAATCAGATCTGCGGACGGCGAAGAACATACGCTGGCACCTGCAATGTCTTCGGTCACAATTTTAGCACCCAGAGACGGTGGGGAGGCCGCAAGCTTTCGCCGTTTAGCACGTGCTCTGCGGGGCATTACAGACAGGAAAAGTTTTTCGTTACAGAAGACGGGTCAACACGTTGCAAACGTACATCTTACTGGATACTTTCGACATTCCAGCAGACGTCCAGTTCCCCAAACTCGCTGCTGTGCCCATTTCAGATGCACCGCCTTTGGTATCAGTCAGTAGCCCTTGTACGTCAGCGTATTTAGTCCCACGACAAATGCCCTTGCCGACGTCTATGACCTAGTATTCGGCATAGTAGCCCATATGTGTGAGCATTTTCAGTTCCCACCATTACTGAGACCTGTAACTAGGTCAACAGTATCGTCACCCTTATGTGTGATCACGTCCGGTCCCACGACAGGTGGCATTACCAGCCGGAGGTTTATGTAAATTCATCGATTTAAAGTAGTAACTGGTTTCCTCAATTTATTCAAAAACAAAAAAACACTTATCGTCCCACTGAAACACTTGCTTGCGTCTTCTAATACGGAGGAAGACATAAATTTGTGCCCATATAGGAGTCTCCGAAACGCCTCGGGCACAGGTTCCGTCGATGCGATTGCCATCAACACCTATCACCGAAAAATGCCCTAAAAGTCTGCTTGGGATAAATAACCAATCAGCAAACCCGAGTCATAAACCAATGGCAATTGTTGCGTGGGCTGA